AAAAATTTACAAATGTAATAAAAATATAGGTATCGGCATCGGTATCGGCAAGTACCAAAAATAAAAGTATCGGTATCGGGCGAGTACTGGAAAAAGTGGTATCGGTGCATCCCTAATATTTAATAAACAAATGTAATGAATACAAATTTTTTTTTAATAATTAAGTGAACATATTTTATTACTTATTTTATTTTTATTAATTTAAAAATAAAAAATGTATGAAATAATAAGTGATTATAAATAAATAATTAAAAAATTTCATAAAAATGTTTCATTTTTTTAATTTTAGCTATATATTCCAGCCAGTGTGTTTGTGTGTTTGTCTGCCTCTTTCAGCGTCTGTCTGCTGAGTTTGCACAAGTGTTCATGTCATATGGACACACCCTGATCCACACGTGCTTCTGATTTCTGCCGCCCTGGGAAGGAGGAGAGGGTTTAGCTCTTGCACACACACATGTATTTCCCTGCTCATTCATCCTTCTCTTGCCTCGAGGATGACCCCTCTCTGATAGTGACTCACACACACGGCTATTCTTGGAACAGGCCTCTCGGTCTGAATCACTGCTCAGATTCTTTAAAAATCCTGTGGTGTGGGAATCTGACTGCAGAAATAATGCATAGCATAACATAGACTGTTTGCACCTTTAATAACAAATCTGTGGCTTAAGTTACGTGAGGATATGACACGGACCCGTATGGGTGGTGTTGTTCAGATCTGCCTGTTGTTGCAGATTGTGTGTAATCTGTCCATCTAATCAGAGCTTTATTGTGTTAAGCCTTTCACTCTCACTGTCAACACCACACACTCACAGTAAAGCTACTGGAATTGAGACGTGCGCTTTTGTATCTAAAAGAAGTGCTTGATTTCATCTCATTTAATCTCTTTTGTCCATGGCTTCAAAACATCAGCACTCACTCGCTCCTCACTAGGGTTATGATCCTAATTAAAACTAAAACCTTTGAAAAACATTGCTGTCACTAGAAATAAAATAATATATATAAAACAATTCAAGTAGTTTTCAAGGCAACATTTCTCATTTTCCTTTAGTTTAACAGGGCTTGAATTTCGGCACAGGATTGCACATAATTTTACTGATTCCCACTGATAAACGGCCAAATACATACTAAATTGTCAAAATGCCCGTCTTGTGTATTCACATAAACAGTCGATTTATACTAAACATTGTCGGTATATGCTATTAAGTGAATTAAAACAGTTGAGAAACAAACTTGTGTGTAACAGTTAGATCCGTGCATGAAGTCTTAAAGAGACAGCAACCTAAATAAACCTGCTGCTGTCTGTCATTAATGCTTATTTATACATTGAATACTAACCAGTGTTATTTTAAAGTTAAATAGATTGTTCAGTTTCTGTAGTATTTCTGTACCTGAATATTACTGTTATACCTACCTGAAAAAC